ATTCCAGTCCTTCAGGTACAAATATTTTGTTATTTCTCCTGTAGTTTCTCTTTAACTCACACTTGGGAATTTAGTTTTAAGTTTCCAAACATTCAGATTTTTTAAAGTCTTTTTACTGTTTATTTCTGATGTGATTATGACAATATGGTCATATAATCTGATTTATATGACTTTAAGTTCTTAAAAATTATGACTTGGTTGTAAGATAAATAAGTCCTAGAGGTGTAATAATGTGCAGTATGGTGACTATAGTTAGAAATATTGTACTGTATATTTGAAAGTTTTTAAGAAAATGTGGTTAAGAATCTTAAAAGTTCTCATCACACACACAAAAATGTAACAATGTGTAGTGATGGATATTAACTGAACTTACTGTGATAATCATTTTGCAATATATACACAAATATCAAATCATTATGTTGTACACCTAAAACTAATACAATGTTATATGTCAACTATGACTTCTTTAATGATAAGACTTTCTTTGTGACCTTACCTGGAGTGGGAATAGGGTATGGTAATATTTGAGATTATTATTGAAGTTAGAAACAAAATAGACTTTTAGTAACCAAAAGTTGTTAAATGTGCCCAAGATTTCATTAAGGGTCAGGAAAAGGATATTTTGACAGAGCACGACGAAAAGCATAAATGAACAAAAAATAAAATTTGTTCACACATCTGCCACTGAAGTGAAACTGCTCGATAAGCCATACATATTTGTTGGGGAAGAAATATTATCCAGGAGCCCACATCTTCCCCAAATGGTCTTATATTCCAATTCTCTTTTGCCTAACTCTTCCTAATCTGAGAGATCTTTTTCTTTTCTTATTTTATTTATTCAATTTGGTCTGCTTTCATTTCCAATATAGTTTCTATATAAATTCACTGAGATCTCAAAGAAGGGCGTCCATTTCTGAAGTCCAAGCTTTCTTACTTTCTGAGAGTCCTCTAAGGGACTCAGAGGATGTGTTCTTCTGACTTTTAGAGGACCAAAGAATTCTGCTTCCACTCTCCTCACCAAGGAAGCATATGCTCTCAGGTCTCCGGCTGCGCTGAAGAAAACCCAGCATTTCTGCGGTTCTATACTAACCGCCACTGTGTGTCAGTCTTGAGTTGCATTGCAGAAAAAAGCCAGGAGAGGCGAGCAAACCCGAGAGTGAGGGAAAAGTAGGGTTTAAGGAGATAACACGAGTCATCAAAGATCGACCATTTTCAACCAAAATAAGTGAAAGAAACCATAGCAAGAGTCTGAAAAAAACGGAGGTCTCATCACAAGTTTGAACCAAAATTGCCCAAGGTGCTTACATAAAGTTGATACAAAAGCATCTCTCCCTCCCATTTATTATCACCAAGGTGATGCGGCCGCAGTGAACTGAACGTCTACCAAAGGCAGTCTTCTGCTGCTGGGTAGGCTCCTGCATGCCCTCATCCTTTGTTCACCAGCACTTCAAAATAAAGTCAGTCTTGCTCTGCAAACCCTCTGGTATGGGTCAATCCTTCATTCCAATCCTTCATTCCCACTTCTCTGCTTCTGTAACTTAGTGACTTAGCACTGCTGGAGGAAAGCACAGTGTGGGAATTTGTGTTTCCACAAATGTATAATTTTTAATTTCAATTCAGCTTGTCAATCCTTTTCCCTGTCCAAAAATAGGTCTCCCCTCTCCCTTCTCTCTCCCTTCGGCTAGTATTCCAAACCTTCAACCGCCTCTCTCATTCCTAGCAGATGATTTCCCCAACCCATAGAGAATATTGAGTCCCTCAGGTCCTCACTACCCTAACCCACTTCATAAACATCCTGCCACTCCCACAGCCTTATCTTCATTCTCACCGATTCTCACACCTGTCCCACCAATGACAAGAAATAAGATAGTCACCCTCCTGTCTCCTCCAAGTTTCTCCCAGGACGTTGCTTCATGAATCCATCTTTATGTCTCTATAAACTCTTTACCCCCAGATTGCTAATGTAACAAGACAGAGAATTATTGGATTCTCTTAGCCAATGGCATGAAAATTCTTCTTGATGATTTGTCAGAAAAATTAATTGATAAGCCCATGGAGGTTGAAGGCAAGAGTTTGCAGGGGCCTGAGTGTGAGAGGATCACTCAGCTCTAGACAAGGAAAGTAACTCCCTGCTCTACAGAAGCAGGAGGGAGTCAGGCAGGATGGAGACGGAGCTAGCAGGATGGCAATAGGCAAAGTGGTTTGCAGTGTAACCCCTCTCTAGGAGCACACCCGGACTTCCTTAAAGTGTCTTAACTTACACTAGTCTTGATTATATGGATTACTATTGCCATGAGTGTGTGAATCTGTGTAGAAACTGGTGGAAGGGCTGAGATTTGCACTCAGGTAACCTGGAATAGACCTGAGACCACAGGTAGAGATGTGTGAGGGGACACAGAGCATGAGGGAGCAAACTCTCAGGAAACCACTGGGACCAGGGAAGGGGTCCTGGATTGTGACTTTAGACCAACTCTACTTATGTCTTCCAGAGGCAGTTTCTTTTATTGTAAACAAAAGCCTCTTCGCCCTGAGCCCTTTGTAGCTCCTCTCACTTCCTCCTTCTGTCCTTATGCAACCTTCTTGAAAGTATGGTCTAAACTCTTGGCGGTGGCTTCAACACCTTCTGTTAACTTCTGACCCCTCTGCCGTCTGGTGACTACTCTCACCAATGTCATTTATGATGTCCTCGTGGGGATATCTCAGTCCTTATATTACAGGACGTCTCTTCCTGGTACCTCCCACCTGTTCTCTGTCCCTTCCTTTGGCCTGTGCCATGGGCTGCTCATCCTCTTTTTTATGCTTCAATATTGGCATTGGTGCCTGAAGGGCTGCATTTCAACCAGCACCCAGAATTCTTATGTTCACTGGACTAGGTGGTGGGGCAGGTGTCTGTTGAATTGAATTTGACTACAGCTGAGTCGTAAAGAAGATGGTACTGTTAAAATCTGATAAAAGAAACAATTATGGAACCAAGTAAAAGTTTTAAAAAGATCAGGAGTACTCTTGATAATGTTATGGAGAAGAATATTCTGAGAATAAAAGGAACAATCTAGTTATGGGGGCCAAATTGAAATACAAAGAGAGAAGGTGACATTGTGAGAGAAGATACAGGTGTTCAGAGGGAGGAAGAAATAATGTTACAAAAATGAAACTATTTGTGTAATTTAATAGAAGGTAAGACAGTTCCTTGACAGGAAAAAATAATGGGAAGCACTGTTCTACATAAATTCTACTTGGAGCGGTTTATGCAGCCATTTATCATAATCCATCTGGATCAGTGAAATACGAATGGTGTTCTTTTTATTAGCTGTGGTGGAGTCAGTGTCAGAAGGCATTCAGATTATGTTTGTATTATATTCTAACAGGAAAATCACTCAGTTCACTAGATGAGTATCATCAATAAAACACAGTAGAGCTTTCTAATGCACAATTTGCCTGGTGTGTTGGACCAGATCATCCTCCTCTGCAGACAGATGACCCTTCTGTGGAAACATTTGTCCTTATTCAGCTTCCATTCACATGACCACGCTAGAATTTCACTGTAATCCTACCTATTCTTAGAATTGAGGGTAAGAAAGTTCTATCTTGGAATGTTTTCAAGAAAATGAATCAGAGGAACTGCCAAAAGAACTAAATTACAACATTGTCACATGTGCTGTCCAATATGGTAGCCATAGCCACACACGGCTAGTTAAGTTCTATAGCATGTGCTGTCCAATATGGTAGCCATAGCCACACATGGCTAGTTAAGTTGAAATGTAAATTTATTAAAATTAAATAAAATAAAAATTTCAATTTCCCAGTTGCACTGGCCACCCTTCAAGTACTCAATTGTCATGTGTCAACTTCATTGGAGAGTGCATATATAGAGCATTTCCTTCACTGCAGAAGTTGTAAAGGGCAGTAATGCTACACACACACACGCGCGCGCGCACACACACACACACACACACACACACGATCATCAGTCAGGGACAATGATAAAAGCATCAAAGTTTCTATGTCAGTGCAGGAGCCATACACAAAACTTTGGCCTCCATTCCGTAGTTTTAATAAGTCTGATTATCAGGGTTTATTATTAAATTAATGTGTTATTAAGATGTTTTCCCCAGGAGTATGTCAATCATCAATCACTGAAGTAGTTACTGAAAGATGTTATAACATCTCCTTCAGTAAAAAATAGTTTGAACACTGCCCCTCTTTGAAGCAGGTACATAGAGTTGTGAATTCAGGAAACTCCTGCATTTTTATGGTCTCCATAAAGAGAGCGCTAGCATATTTGTACTTACTAGATCCTAATATGTCAGGTTCCGATTATGCTGTTAACTAGGTAAGTCATTTACCTTCCCTGAGACTTATTTTCATCAGCTGCAAAAGGGGAATTATAATATGAGTGTCACAGAAGTTTTGTAGATTAAATGAGATAATGCATAGAAACGGGTAACATTCATAGACATGGGCAAGAATGGTTAACAGTCATGGTCCCATGGCAAGTTAGGTCAAGGGTTAAAGACTTTAATGACCTCTGCACCTCCTCTTAGGAGTTTCTTTTCCCACCAAAGACCCAGAGGCTTGCAGAAAACTCCGCCTCTTCCACAAAGTGCGCAGAAGAAAGACCCAGTTCACAAATAGCCATTTGTGGAATTCATTTTGTGAGAATATGATTTTGCGGTTTTAAAAAGCTACCTGTAGTTTATCATTGTGACTATAGGGGTGGCAGTCTTCATTTCAGGAGAAGACTGCTCTTATTTTGAGGTGTAAAGGACACTTTGACAGGCTTTAATCATGCATGGCCGGGCCCAGAATTCTGCTCTGATGATAACATAAAAATCTCTTTATCATGGAGGGAATGTTGCTGAGCAGCACCATGTTGGAGCCTGAGGCCAAAGGGAAAAGTGCACCCACATCTACAAACACAAAATACCCTCCCATATCTTGAACCAAGTGGAAATTAAAGATTGTTGTCAGTACTGCTCAAGCCTCTTGGAAAACAGTCCACCATGTCTTTGTCTCTAGAAGGGAACAGTGGAGAAGGTGAGAGCAATGAGAAGTGGCTGCAGCAATGTGAAGTGAGAATGGCAGCGGTATCTCCAAGAATGTCTGTAGGTTCTCTGATAACCAAAAATCCCTGGTCATTCAGAATGGGGTCTAGATCCTGCTTTATGAGTATTAAGGTGAAAAGTGGCTTTGGAAAGCCTGAAAACGTGGGATGTTGGTGATCTACATGGAATCTACAAGTGTAATTAGAAATATCAACAAGAATGGTCATTCCAGGACAGACCCACAGGGTAGGTATGTGAGAGGATAAATAGATAGCGCAGATCCTGGGCAACCAATTGAATCCTGAGCCAGGACCCCCCACAGAGCAGTTCCCTTGACCACATGCAGTGGAGGTGGGTAGTTATCACTGAAGCAGCGCTGCATATAATTTGTGATATTTACATTCATGCTGAGTTAAATGTTTAGCAAATTGTACCTAGTTCTCCTTCCATAATGTATGTTCAGTTACTGTCAATGAGCGACAGTCAGATAAAATTCGTAAAATCCTGAATTGAGGGGTTCCCATGGGCATGCTAAAAATGATATGCTCAGCTGACAGCGGTCCATGTTCTAGAGACTAGAACTGGCAGGTAGTTAAACAGGTACACTGACTTTCTATTTGTTTATTTTCTTTTTAATAACCTTTTGATTTTAGAATAATTTCAGATTTAAAATTGCAAAGAGAAAAGAGAGAATCCCATATACTTCTCACCAGCTTCCCCTCATCGTTAACTTCTTATATTACCATAGAATATTTGTCAAAACTTAGAAACTAATATTGGCATAATATTATTATTACTTGTTTATTTTTTAACTAAAAAGTGCCAGCTACTTGAATCAGAATAATCTGGGAAGCCTGTTGGAAATACAGATCTTTAGGGCGCATCCCAGATCCACTGAATCTAGGCTTAAGGATCCACCTGTCAGCAACTTCCCCAGGTGGTGGTGAGACAGTCAAACAGCCTTGGGTGGGGCTTATATATCATAATAAGTGAATGAAGACAATTCCAATAGGAAAGATCGAGATTTCTAATGGGGTGGAGTGGGAGCCTGGTGATGCCCCCTCTTGAGCCAGACCCAGGACTTTTCCAAGTAGGTGGAAGGAAGCAGCTTCTAGCAGTGCCTACAGAAAGACCAGATGGAGGCCCGAGAGCTCCACTCTCCAGATCCTAACGCCACCCCTGAGGAACCGGGCAGTGTGCTGGGGGAATGGCCCTGCCCACACCTTTGTCCACTGACCTACAGGATGAGAACCTTCTCTGAGAACCCAAACTCCCCTTCAAGTTTATAACTGGAAATATCTGGGGACAGAAGGAACTACTTCAAATGCCAGGGAGCCAGACTTGCTGTGGGTGTATGCTTTGGGTCTAACAAGAGCATCTGTTTAACCATCTTTTCTGTGTCCCTGAGATGGCCGCTGGCCTGCACCCCAAACATTTGAAACCTCAAACAAGGGTGCGTTGAATGTTTTTATATTAAAGGAAATAATTAAACCTTTTAGTTAAAAATAAACAAATAATATTATACCAATGTTAGTGTCTAAGTTTTGACAAATATTCTGTGGTAATGTACGAAGTTAACGATGAGGGGAAGTGGGTGAGAAGTGTATGGGAACTCTCTCTTCTCTCTTTGCAATTTTAAATCTGCAGTTATTCTAAAATTAAAAGTTTAGGAAAAGAAAATAAACAAATGAAAACCATATGCAAGGCCCCCAGGAGGGTGTGTCTCAGACCCCACCCCTTCTTTGGGCTCTGGCCTCCCTGGCAGAGGCTTAACTCCCATGACTTGAGATTCCCTCATTTGGCACTCCTCAGGATGGTGGCATCCTTTCCTAGTGGGGTGGGACTTTCACGTGTAGTCTCTACTTAACCCTTAGCACCAGCCTATCCAAACCACACAGGCTGCTTCTTCCAGCTCCAGGGAAACTATTTCTATCTAGTTAAGACCTTAGGATTGAAATGGTGTGGAACTAATTTGCCTACTTCTAAGATATGGCTTGAAATGTGTTTCCTCTCTATTTATATTCTTTGCATATGGACCTACTATAAGCATCACACTGGCACTTGGGCGAGGGTGGAAAAGAAAGAAAATTGGGTGAGGCTCATCAATTTTACTTGAAATATTTCGTAAGGGCACAGTTTATTGATTGACCGATTAATTGGTTGATTGGACAGTGGGTTTTTAAATGTGTGCTCCACCACTGTGTAACTATTAAGAGAATATTGGGCCCCTTTAAAACTATCAGTTAAAAGAATATGAAGGAATTAGGAGGAAATATTCTCCTTGTGAGGAACTCTGAATGGAGCGCATTGTCTGAGGCCAGAGGGAAGCTTCATTTGGGGAAGATTCTAATTGTTTTCTTTTTTATCATGCCAGAGAAGCTGACAACCAATATTTTACTGCTCAAAAAATAAAATAAAAGGCTCAACTCATTTCTGACACAGAACTCAAGAGAGCCTAAAAGAACAAGTTGAATAAAATATTTCCTTTTTCTTTTCTTTTCTTTCTGAAACAGTCAATCTGGCATGTAGAATCCAGGAAACACAAGAACTATTTATTTGTTTAATATATTAAGCACACTGCGCTAGTCCTGTGCTTGCCTCAAGATGTGCAAGGCGTGGCTCCCATTTAAGCAGCATTCAATCTAGAAGTGTGACATATGTTAAAATGACTTCAAGTGATTCTCAACCGGGGTAATTTTGCACCCTCACCCTCCATCAATTTGGCAGTATCTGGAGGCAATTTTGGTTGTCACAACCGCAGAGGGGGTGAGGGTGAGGGTGGGGACGGGGAATGATGCTATTGGCATCTGATGGGTAGAGGCTAGGGATGCTACTAAATACCCAACAATGTACAGGACAGCTCCCAAACAAAGAATCAGTCAACCTGAAATGTCAATAATGCCAAGATTGAGCAACTCTTTAAGGTTTCTTCAAGGTTGAGAAAACACTATAAATACGTTATAATGCAGTTGGTGTGGTACTCCGTGTGTTATACAAGCTGGGTGCTCCGGAAGAGCAAAGAAGGAAAGATCATGTCCAGTTGGGATAACCAGAGATTTTAAGAACCTTACAGTGGGTTTTTCTGTGGTCCAGGGTATCTCACTTTTTCCCAAGTCTTACAGGTCATATAGAGTTCCTAAATACTGCATTTCTATATTTCAGTCAATAACTAGCTAGTGAAAATCCTTGTGTGGTCATGTAACTTGACACATCTCTGTATCTGCTTTCTCTGCTGGAAAGTGGCAGGCTTGATTCAGAAGCCCCCTCCTGGCTTTGAATAAGTGACAATTCTCTCTCTTTTTCTGCCTGGCGACCCTGTACCCCATAAAACATGGTTCTTAGTCATCGGTAGTTAATCGACTTCTGTGAATATCTGTCTCCCCAACATGCACATAAGTGCAACATTTTGCTTATAATTTCAGGGGATGCAGAGGTTCTCTGAATCCCATATCTGCACCCCTCTTGGGTCCAGATTTAGAATTTCTGCTCCAAATTTCCTGAACAACAAAATCTTGGTTGGGTCGTCTGATCCTTGGAAACCTGACTCAGCTGTGTTCCCCTTGGATCCTCTTGGGTCCAGATTTAGAATTTCTGCTCCAAATTTCCTGAACAACAAAATCTTGGTTGGGTCGTCTGATCCTTGGAAACCTGACTCAGCTGTGTTCCCCTTGGATCCTCTTGGGTCCAGATTTAGAATTTCTGCTCCAAATTTCCTGAACAACAAAATCTTGGTTGGGTCGTCTGATCCTTGGAAACCTGACCCAGCTGTATTCCCCAAACTACCAAGCTCTGACTCTGTCACATGCCACACTCATCTGTCTCTTTTTTTCTATCATGGAATTATTTTTCATTTTGCTACTGTTGCTTTACCAAAATTATTTTACCTGATCTCGTGACCTTGCCAAAATCCTGCTTACATGGCAAATGCTCTAACATACCAGGATGAGCTGTCTCAGTCCTAGAGGGTGTTTTTGGTGGGTTCCTTTCAGCTAAGGGAACTGCTGATGAATGTGTCCCTGAAGCCATAGGAGAGAGGATCCCTGTTTGGAGGGGCTATTGAAAGACCATGGGGGAAGTCTACTGTAAGCCAGCAGGGTGCTCAAGAAATTATATCAGAGTGCATAAAACATGGCCTGACTCCACCTGGAAGAGAGGTGCCAAGAACTGCTTTGTCAGTGTGAATAGGGCCTGAAGACCCTGGAACTACACAGTTTAATCAGGTCACCACACATCACTCTTGAGCACTTGAAGTGTAAGTAGTCCAAACCGAGATGTGCTATAAATGTAAAATGCCACCAAATTTTGAAGACTTAGTTTAAACAGAAAATATAAATATTAAATTAATAATTTTTATATAGAGTCCATCTTGAAATGATGATAATGGGATTTATTTATGGGGTTAAATAAAGTAGATTATTAAAGTTAGTTTGACCTGTTTCTTTTTTTTTTTAATGCGGCTATTAGAAAATTTTATATTACACATGTGCCTTGGATTTAGGCTTGCATTATATTTCCACCAGACTGTGATGGTTTTAAACCTGGTGGGGCATCACCTGAGGGACAGTTTTAACCTCTACAGACATTCCTTTTTTATCAAATCTAAATGACCTGCTAAAGAACCAGCCCAGATACCTGGAACACTTTAGATTAGGGAAAGGCTCAAAAATCTGGAATATTGTCCTAATTGTTTAGAGCATGGCCTCTTAATGGGTGCACAGATTGAATGTGTGTATGCCCTTTAAATTCATACATTGAAACTCAATGTGATGGTGTTAGGAGGTAAGGCCTTTGGGATGTGCTTAGGGCATGAAGGTAGAGTCCTCATGAATGGGATGGGATTAGTATTCTTATAAAAAAAAAAATCCCACAGAACTCCCTAGTCCCTTTTACCATGTGAAGATATAGCAAAAAGACAGCCATCATTGAGGAGAAGTGGGCTCTTCACCAGACACCCAATCTGCTAGCACCTTGATCCTGGACTTCCCAGACTCCAGAACTATGAGAAATAGTCACGTTTTCTATAAGTCTCCCATATTATGGAATTTTCATTATAGCAGCCCAAATGGACCAAGACAATGGTAATTGCCAGTATTCATACTATGACCATAAACCCTGAGTCAGATCCCATTGGGAAGTTGATGACTAAGCAGCAATCATTGCAGGGACTTTCAAACGCACTTTGATTATTAGCTGTGGTAGGCCCAGCAATCACTCTCAGTGGTGGAATATACAGGCTGAGCCTCTGGGATTCTCCGCAGAGATAAGACTGGTCTCCTTGAGATGCCTGACTTTTCCCTACTGACTTGCATGCAGGGAATACCTAATGTGTAAGTGGCAGAAGCCCAAATATTTTGCAGGGAGATGCCTTGAGACTACGTAAGTATCAAATTTTTTATCTACTAGTTTTCGCTTTCATGATGTTTCTTGACTCAATTTATTATTATTTCCATGGTTAGCAAATAGTGATTTCCTAATGCCAACATTTTTTCTATTAGTTGGAATTCTACTATAAGGAAAACTTGTTTATTCATTTATTGCAATTTGGACTCATGGAAGCGTATTCAATAGGTTACACTTTGTAACTATCATTTATTTTGAAGGTCAAACTGACCCAGATTTCATCTGTAAAAGCCCCACTTAAGCTAACTCTAGTGTTCTTTTTGATATGTCCCCATCATTCTTTGAGTTGTCCCAGATAATCTTGTACTCTCCTTGCCCCATACTCAGAGTCAGTCTTTTCTCCATGAAGCCCTGGTTCATTTTAGTGAAGAGTGGTGTTTAAATGCCAAGCTCTGGGCACCAGGTATGCTCAGGGCCATTGGGATGTTATTGCTGCTTCTACGCCTCAGTGAACAGAGCTAAGGAATATATGTGTGTATCTACATAATACATGAGTAAATATTGACATCTTTATTTCTAAATCTATATATCCAAATATATTTTGTAAACCTAATGCTCACACTAACTGCCAATTCCAATCCAAATGTACAGCTTCATTCTAGTTTTCTCCCTTTTCATATTTATAACTCCCTCCTCCCACAGTGGGAAACTCGGCTCCCATTGTCCTTACTTATTGGCTGCATACACTATTCCCCCAATTTCATGTGGGCAGCCTCCTAAGTCCACTTGGGCTCAAACACCCTGTGTTTGAGGCCACCACCATGGCCCCCACCTGGGTGTTCTCCTCACCTTCCATTGGCTCTCATACATCGCACACACCTAGACATGGATGCTTTCCTCACTCCGCTCAGGCTGTACCACCTCATACTGGTCCAATGCCCACCCCTGCACAAAGGCCTACTTCAATCTGTGCTTCCTAATGACTTCAGACTGAATTATTCAGAAAGACAGTCAAGCAGGCAGACATAAATAAGTTAAAACATATTTGAGACAATTTGGAGCATAAGCGAACCTATTTTATAGTTCTTTAGAACAGCCTAAAAGGTTCTGCACAATCTCATCCTATCTACCTGTAGTAGAGTCAGGTGAGTGCCGTGTAAGAGCATGGGCTCTTAATGTTCAAGTGTATACTTTGAATTTAGAAGAGAAAATTTTCATTGAAAGTGTCACTGTGAAGCAGAATATTCATTTGCACTGATATTTATAGCCTTGTGCAAAAAAATCTCTGTTTACTGACGACACAATATTTAGTGTTTTAGGTAAAACGTCCCCCCGCCCCCCGCCAATGAAATCTCCTAAAATGACCTATGAGTATGAATCAGAGTATGGATCAATTAATCTTGCCAAGAATACCTATAATATTGTAGAGGAGCAGTTGGATAGAAAGTATCCTTTCTCCAGAATAAATTAAAACATGAGGCAACACTACATCTAAGGGAAAAACATTGTGAAAGGGTCTCAAAGTTCTCCTGAAATATGGAAAACATTAGTCAGGTAAAAATATATTAGAAAGAAGAGTTAGAAATACAAGTGGCAACACATGGAACTATTTCAAGATAATGTATATAATAACATAACAATGGTTGCGCAGCATCTATGTAGACTGAGCAAGAAATATAGATAACGTGCACAGTATATCCTCTGAAATGCATAGAAACTGAATATTTTGAACATTTACTTACTTAAACTAAGATGTAGTGTTAAAAATAATACTTACGGTTTTTATTGGTTATCGAAAGACATATATTCATTATAGAAAATAAAAAAGACCAAAGAAAAAAGTAACAATCACATATATACATACCACTCAGATTTAACTCATTAATATTTTGATATATTTCCTTTAGATCATATTGTTCATCTGTATTAAGTGGGATCATATACTATATACATTGTTTATATCTTGGATTTTTTTCCCACAATGATATATGTCACAAACATTTTCCCATGACACTGGACAATCTATGAAATCATAGTTTTAATGACTGTATAATATCATGTTGTATAGATTCACCATAACTTACTTAACCACTTTTCTACTGTTGGGTATTTTAGCGGTTTCCAATTTTAGCTATTAGAAATGATGTTGGGCGGAGAGTCAGGTCCTGGTGCTGGAGGGCTGAGGCCATCTCCTGGGTCGCACGGTGGCTAAGCAGGTACTGCTGAGCCAGAAAGTGGTGGTGGTGGTGCGCTGTGAGGGCATCAACATTTCTGGAAATTTCTATAGAAAAAAGTTGAAGTACCTGGCCTTCCTCTGCAAGCGGATGAACACCAACCCATGCCGAAGTCCCTACCACTTCCGGGCCAGAGCCACGTCTTTTGGCAGACAGTGCGAGGAGTGCTGCCCCACAAGACCAAGCGGGGCCAGGCTGTGCTGGACTGCCTCAAGGTGTTTGATGGGATCCCGCCCCACTATGTCAAGAAAAAGCGAAAGTTGAAGTACCTGGCCTTCCTCTGCAAGCGGATGAACACCAACCCATGCCGAAGTCCCTACCACTTCCGGGCCAGAGCCACGTCTTTTGGCAGACAGTGCGAGGAGTGCTGCCCCACAAGACCAAGCGGGGCCAGGCTGTGCTGGACCGCCTCAAGGTGTTTGATGGGATCCCGCCCCATTATGTCAAGAAAAAGCATATGGTGGTTCCTGCTGCCCTCAAGGTTGAGTGCCAGAAGCCTTCATTGAAGTTTGCCTGTTCGGGCGCCTGGC